AATGCGAGAAAATAAATATACGTCATTACATCAGTTGTGCAAACCTATACAATTTTCTAGGAAAATTAAATAGAAAAAAGATGAGAAAAAGAATGTTAGAAAAAATGTTTTGTTTTGGTGCTTTTGTAGAAAATAGTTTAAGTGATAATAATTAATTAAAACCTAACTGTTTTTAATTAATTTTAATATTAAGAAAAAGGTTAATTAATTAATTAATAAATAAAAACATGTCAAGAATTTAATTATTAATTAAAAACCCTAATCTTAATTTGTTAGATTTTCTTTAAAAAAATTAGGTTAGTTAATGTTTAATTAAAAAATAATTAGTAAAAAATGGAAAATTTAGAGTAGAAAGCAAATAGGGTTAAAATGCATGGGGTGGGTGTTGAATCCACGCCCTTGGCCTCACAGATATGATTTCCTTCCACTGCGCCATGCGTTTGCTGGTATATGAGAATGGGAAGCAATTAGGGATGTCAACGGGCCAGAGAATGTGCGGAGGATGCTTCCCCATTCACCGCCCCCTCCCCAAATCGGTTCCCAGTCCCCGTCCCCGATCCCCGCCACGGGGGGATATTTTCCCCCGTCCCCATCCCCACGGTATCCACGGATATCCACAAACATCAAATCTTAAACTTTTTATTTTTTTCGATCAAAACTATGACATTAGTATTTCATTTTTTTAATTTTTTTAAAACATATATTTTTCATATTTATTATTTTAAAAATAAAAACACATATTTCACCCATAACGAAAAATACAAAAGTGATTGCAGTTGCTAATTTTATTCTTTCTACCATGCATAACTATATAAAAACTCATAACTAATATATCTCTTAATGCTTAGAAAAATAGAAAATTGGAATTGTCAAATTACCAAAATAAAATGCTAATAAATATCCCAAAATGAATACCAAAATAGAATTGGATGATAATCTCAAATATCAAACCAATCACCCAACAAAAGTTATAATTCAAGTTACTTTGGACAAAGTTAATCAATATGACCGAATTCGGGGAATCTGCGGGGACAAAGGGTACTTCCCCGTTCCCCGCTACAAAGTGCTATCGGGGGATTTTTTACCTCCATCCCCATCCCCGCGGGGGAAAACATCCCCGACTTCGGATCCCCGGACAGATAATCCCCACGGATATCCCCGTTAACATATTCAAATTGACATCCCTAGAAGCAATCATTATAATATTAACCCACGTGTTAGTTTGGAAAAACAACAAAAATAATTGCATGGCGTAAGGATCGAACCCGTGCTCCTCATGTTACAAGCCTATGTCCCCAACCAACTGCACCACGCTGCGTTTTTGTTATTAAAATACAAGTAAATAAATATATAATAAAAGTGAGTGAATTAGAGAAGCGCCGGAGCCCTAGCTTCGGTCGTATTCTCCGGCGAGACAATTTTCCAACCTGCAAAAATAACAAGATTTAAAGATTAACAGGGGTCGTGTCCCTCTAATTTTGACCTCCTGAATTCAATGGCGGTGTTAGTTTGGCCTGAAACTACTTGCATCGTGAGTTTCAAAGAAAACACTTTAAACTTCCATAACAATGGTAACTCATCATCCCTGCGTCAAAGCTAGCAAGTAATGGACAAAAATAATTCTAAACATGATTACGAACATGTATGTATGCATTAAATCAATCCATAATGCATGAATAAAATGTTTGAGTTTTGAGAATTTTACCCAACCGGTGTAATCGATGGAGGATTCCCTGGCATGTTTCAGGCTTCAAGGATGGTTGGGATGGACTCCTGGGAACGTCAGGAAGATGATAATATGCTCGGAATTGATTGATCAATGCTGGAGATGAAGGTTTCAAGTTGCCCTAGTTTTTAACAATTTTGAGATTTTTTAGGGCTTGTTCTTGAGGCAAATTTCGTGTCCCTTGATGTCTGAAGGTGTTGATTAATTATAATGAGAAGATTAGGTCAACAAAAATGAGATCAATCTTTTGTATTTCATGATCAAATCTTTGATTGGAATTTTGCATGAAATCTTTCTTTTTTAGGCCAATTATGTACCAATCACCTCGAAACGTTTTTTGCAAGTTGTCACCAGCTTTTTGAGTTTATGATTTGATTCAAAAATAGATCCACGTGCCTTATATCATTCACGTGATATTTTATTTGATTTATGTTGTTTTTAATTGAATAAAATCAAAATAAAAAGAAATAAAAACCACAAAAGTAAGTGAATGGATTCATAGATCTATTATGAGGTCAGGAACACGTTTGAATCTTAAAAGATAGGCCCATTAGCCCAAAAATTAAAATTTTCTCAATTTAGACTTCATGCATTTTCTCAAAATTGCCCAACTTGCACCAATCACAACTCATTCAATTTTTGTCATATAAAGATGATCTTTGGCTTTTTGGAAAGCTCAAGATATTTACTACAACTTTCATGTTGCAAATTTTTCGAGTCTTTAACTTGATGTAAATTGCTTTAACCAAGAATATCTTTTTGTTGATTTTTAAAATGACCTGTAATATTTTGACTCATATCTTTCAAATGAAGCATTTTTGGCCTTGAGCTTAGAGAGACAAAGTTGTAAAGAATTGAATTTCCTTCAAGATAGGCTTTGGTTGAGAAATTTTTGAAGAAGTATGTGAAAGTTATGCTTGGTCAAAGTTCAGTTGACTTCTCATTAAGAAAACCCTAATTTAGTAACTTTTGACTTTTGATGAATCTTGAGTTTTCTTGATGAATCATGATCAAACCTTGATCAAATGATGAATATGAGTTCAAAATCTTGATGTTGACCAAAATTCTTGAAGCTTGACTATAAATTGATCAAAATTAACTTTTTGTCCAATACAATTGATTTTCAATCATCTGGCTAATTGACTAAGCAAGCTTGTGCTGCAAGGCTTGAAATTTGGCACGAGGATACTTTGATACATATGAGAAACCATGAAGTCCATTTGAGGTATTAGAAACTCAATTTCCTTTGAGAAAAGCAAAACCCTAGTTGTAGGTCAATTGCTTAGGATGAGAGTTTTTCTGATTAATCTTTGAGTAGTCTTGAGTGTTTGAGACCTTCATGAGCATGAGGAGACCTATTGGAATAATTTATCTTGAAAATAAGAGGGAAATTTTTGGGGTACAACACATATGAAGAGTATAATAGAAAGCCCATATTAACTATAATTTACAAGCTTTCATTTTTATTATTATATCATTCAAACCAATTCAAAACCTTTTTATTTATCTATTTCAAATATTAAATTTAATATTCATTTTGATCTTCATGATTGATATTTAGTGATATTCATCATAATATTTTTTATTATGGATCAATTTGAATCACTTGACATATCGTTTCTCATCTATTTGGAAGAAAAGAACATTTAAATATGTTATTGTGTTATTGAGTGTAAGCACCGTAAAAAAAAACTCTTTTGCCAGGTAAATAAAACCCCACAAATATAAATATTACTGTGCAACATAACAATTGTGAGATAAACATAGTACCTCGCAAAAACAGTATTCACAACTTTTTGCAAGGAGAAAAACACCCCACAACTTTGTCAGATGGTTATCACCCTGCAACTTCTTTTATATAGTTGTGCTGAGACACGCGTGTCAGAGCAGGTATATGGTTCAGAGCAAACTGGTGGTTCAGAGTAGGTACATTGTTCAGAAATTTATAGGGTAAAAATCACCTAGTAAAATTTAAATATTCATTATCTTACAGAGTGAAATTCACCTGACAAATATTTTGACAATGCCAAATTAAAAACACCATGCAAACAGTAAAGATTATAATTAAAAATATATATATTTATATTATTCTAAACATTAATTAATATTTAGAATAATATAAATATAATAAATAATTTAAATTCAGAAATTTTAAAAATAAAAAAATTATAATGAATTATATATTTAAATTCATACTTAATTTTAAAAAAAATCCATAATTAAATAAATTCATATTGTTTTCTTCATCATTCTCATTCTCGTCTACCGCTTCTTGGTTACCAACCGCTCCAATTCCGCCACCACCATATTGTTGTTGAAACATTTGTTGTATTTGTTATTATATTTATTGTTGTACTTGTTGTTGAATTTGTTGTTGTGTAAGTATTATTTGCTCTTGTGAAAAGCGCTGCGACGTGTGATTAACCCCGCAAGTTGTATTATTGTTGGCACTTGCGAAGTGCCATTCACCTTGCAAAATCCATGACATTAAAGTTTTCCTGCACCACTGGCGCATCAATAATTGTACAAATATATTTTCCCCCCAAATTTTTTAAAAACAGTTGTAGGGTATTTCCCACTTTGCAATTTTCTTTCTAAAATTTTTAAATTTTTCTCCATCAGTTACAAGATGGAAAAACTTAAATATTTTTTTTTATAAAAAAAAAATTGTGTTTCAAGGCGAATAACACCCTGCAAGTACGATTTTTTGTGAGGTAATTAATACCTGCATAACTAATTACAAGTTTTCTTGTAGTAAAGTGGAAATAAAGAGAATGTAACTAGTAAAAGTAAAATATATTTTTCATTTTTTTTTGTTTCAGTTTAATTTGATAATAAAATTATCATTTTTCTATTATCTAAAATAATAAAAAATTTATTAAAAAGTGAATATAAAATTAAAAAGTTCACTATTTAAAAACAGAAAAATAGTGTGTGTTTTCTCTACATAAAAAGGCAACAAGAAAAGAAAAAAACAAGTAAATTGGAAATAAGTGCAAAAAAGAATAATATAGAAATGCATTAAAAATATTAAAATGAATGATGGGTTTTTGTTGGACATCACAAAGGCAAGACAATATGCAGCCCTTTCTAAGTTGATTTATATTATATTCTCTACCTTTTTTAAACTAAAGGATAGCTCCCACTTTCTTTTGTCAAAAAAAGAATACATTAAATTGATCAAAAAGTGAAAGTAGGGTTTCACTAAAACTTAACAAACATTTGTTGATTCTTGATGATTACCCTTTCATATAGCACCTATATATCTTCTTAATTAACCTGCATGAAATAAAGAAATATATTATTGACCATGATCACCATATCATATCAATAATTTCATCAAAGATATGCATTTTATTATAAAAATTTCAATTTTAGTAAAATATGATTATACCTGCTGCTTTTTTGCAAATTGAGAGAAGGACAACTAGAACTGCTAGACCCCCAAACACTCCTACAATGATTGCAACTGATTTGCCAACTTGATCATCATTTTGGGAATCTACACAAAACACCAAGTTTTTAAGCAAGAAAGTAATATAAATTGCCACAAAAGCTGAGAAATGTTTATATATTTGAGTTCACATAATATTTTACAATTATCATATGTAAACCGATAATCTATATATCATATAAATGTGTTTGTATTCGTGTATGTGTCATATCGATGATTTTGATATTGATATTGATCTCGACACGAGAATATCGGTATTATATCAAGTGTTTATATTTGTCTAATTCAAAATATTTAATTGTAGGAAATTAATTAAGAAAGAATATAACTTTTTATTGTTGGGGATCAAAAGATAGAAGTGAGACTCCATGCTCTCTTTTTTAAAACCATTCGTTACTTTATGCTAAAACAAGAAGGTGGTTGAAGGTGAAGAATATAGAATGTGATGCTATTTACAAAGGGGTTTCATGAAAAAGAATAAAAACCAATGGCACAAAGGTGCATTTTTCCAAATAAAGTTTAAAGGCTAATATGCTTAATGCTTTGGCTCTTACCAATATTTCATTCTCATATTTTGCTTTATTCATGCTTATCTTAAAAATATTTTAATACACCATTAGTTAATAACTAAATAAAGAAATTAGTTAAGTAAGAGAAAGTAAAGACATGAAAGATAGAATTATGAAGTAGCATCATGATTATAGAATTTTTGAAAAAAGAAAGAATGAGAATGAAATATACCTCTTTCATCATAGTAACCAGAAGCCCAATACCGAGCATAACACTGTCCCAAGAAGACATCAGCTGCAGCTGCTGATCCACACAAGCTCTTCAGCTTTCCAACTGCATCAACCAAGCAAGTTGAACAATCTGTAACACTCAAATCCCCCAAACACTGCGCAAACCCTTGAACTAGTCCAGAACTACTAACCCTAAATCCATTAGCGGTTTGCAAATCTTCAAGAACATCGTCTCTACGTCGAAAAAACTCGACATCACTACTAACACCTTTACTACATTTCTTAAACCTAATACCTGTATCCAACTTCCCAAGAAAATCACCACTATGTTCATATCTCACATAACAACCTTCAAATTGCAAAGAAGCACCAAGTGAATAAGGGCACACTAGGCCTATTTGGTTAACAGATCTTCCAACACACTTTGAGCAATCAAGTGGATGCAAATCACCTCTACATTGGTATAAACCATAAACAGCTCCATATGGTTGTGCTGTTGAGGTATCATTACCGATCGCGAAAGAATCGTAAGTTACTTCAGATGATGAAGATGCAACTGAGGATAGAAAGCTGTTGAGATTGGATTCAAAGGGTGTGTTTGGTTGATATTTTTCTTGGGAGCAGCTTGCATAGATTGTGATGTGAGTTCTTGAAGGGTAGCTATGAGATGTAGGATATGAAGAAGACAAAATTAGAAGAAATGAGAGTCTCAAAGCTAATATGGTGATTCTTTGAGGGGAGTGTAGTTGAAGATTACTCAACATTTTTTTCTTTTGATTTTTTCCCTCTTCAAGTGTGAAGTTTTGTTTTAGTTTTGTATGGTTTTTGGTTATGATATTATAATGAGAGAGTGAGATAGTGGTTTGTTTTTGTGATTGGTGAATGAAGCCTTTTTCTTAGTGAGACTTTTATTTGGTAAGGACATAGAGCATCTACTATGTCATGAGTGAGTCAATCAATGGTCAAAAAGATTAAAAGAACCAAAATTTCCATTTACATATAAAACTAAGGAGATTCCTTTGTAATGTATGATATTTGTAATATATAATATGTTTTCCAACTAACATATTTGCTAATTGTTGCACATGAAAAAATTAAATAGTAAATGCTAATCCATAAAATATAAATTATATCAAAACAACTCCAACTTGATTAGTCTTATCCGTTATTAAATATAGTAACAATGAATAAAAGAAAATGAAATATGTTCAAATTAAGCACTTATAACCATAACACAATTAACAACATAGCAATATCATTACGATTACAAATTTGACTAAAAATTGTACTATAGTAATAGCCATAAGGTTTCGGAGGTCAAATATATTAAAAATAAGGAGTTCATTTGTATTAAAATTAGAGTTTTATCTAATTCATTTCTACGAAATTGATTTAAAAGGTGAGAGATGTTAGCCTATATACAACTTCAATAAATTTTATTTTTAATCAATATGAGATTTAAGATCGTCTGAATTCACCCTCTCACGTCAAACACCTTATTGGACTTAGAGTGAAGATATAAACAACGGACGGTCTATCGTTCGATCGATAGATTATGATATCATATTAAAGTTATAGTTTGGCCTAAGTCATCCCTGCAAAATTAACTTGTGAGGTGAGGGATGACACTTTATATAAATCTTTTCCAAGTTATATCTCTTACCAACCGGTGGACTTTGGGATTTTTCAATACACCCCCTCACGTCCAACACTCTTTTGGACTTGGTGCGAGGATACAAAAAACGGCAGACAGTCCATGATCTGATCGGTGGGCTCTGATATTTTATTAGAGTATGTGGGTTGAGTCTAACTCATCCCCACAAAATAGGTTTGTAAGGTGAAGGGCTCTATATAAACTCTCACTACAAGAAAAATGGTAAGTTACGACGGTTACTTTTGGAAGGTTACGACGGTATGAACCGCCTCAAATATTGTGTCGCGATAGTTATGGTTATGTCACAACAGTGTGTGTCGTGACTTTTGTGGTTCTGTCACAAAAGCGTGTGTCGCCGTGTTGGCTGAAGATTTTGATGATATTGTTCGAAGCGAAGCAAGTTGGATGTTTTGATTGGAATAAAGCAAGATGTCATGTTTCGAAATGGTAGAAGCAGTGCTTCGAATGGGCATGTCAAAACTCTGAGCTTCGAGTAACAGTTATGGGGATATATTCAAAGAAGTCTCGAAATGGTAACAAGGCTGTGTCCAAGAAATGAGTTCGAAACGAAGAGTGCCAAAACATTTAAACGCAAGCAGGATGTTCGAAATTTAAAATATATGCGCTGGAGCATTCGAAGACGCGTGGAAGCTAGAGAGGGGCATTGCTTTGCATGTCCTGAACGTGGCAGAATCTTATAGCAAGACCGTTATGGTCGAAGTAGTATAAATAGAAGTCTTAGCGTTAGGATTTCGTGTGTCATATCTATTGTACAAAAATTCAGTAAACATTCAAAATACCACATGGCTAGGGAAACGAATGCACGGACAATGTACGTATGATAACACCAAGTGTTTATGATTCAATAAAACTCTTTATCATTTCCAGTCTTTTCCTCTATCTTCATGTCAATATCATTCAAAAGCCTTTACATTAAAATATTTTCATTCGAAGTCTTTTTACTGATGTCTTACATTAATGTTTTCTTTCCATTTCAAATCCTTTACATTTCAGAAACTTTTGTATATTTCATGCCTTTATCTTCATGCTTTTATCATTCGAATACCTTTTTCATTCAAAGTCATTTTACTGATTTCTTGCATTTAAACGCTTTCTTCATATTTCGAATCTTTTACATTCCAGAAACGCTTTTACATTACATGTTTTTATGCTTCGAAGTCATTTACTTGTCTTTTCTACAGTTTTACATGTCTTTACAATTGAACTTTATTCATGCAATTTAGTTTCGTACGCATTTACTTGATCATGTCATTAGATCTTTAATAGAGTAATCGAAGTAAGTTGAACACCTACACAACATTCTAAATACCAACCATGAATATCAGTTCTATAGTGAGAATTATCCAAATGACCAATACATCCTAGGATCAATCTAGTCGATCCTGCAAGTTACCAGAGAGATTAAATAACAGTCATTAAGATTATTTGATAGTTTGGAGGACTAGCGGTTGTTTACCAGAAATCACTGTAAACAAATTGGTACACCTGGTGGGACGGTCATTGGTCATTACGAAATTTAGAACAAAGAAAAAATTGTTGAGACATAACCATTGTAAAGTACTCTCTGAGTGATAAGTTTGTTGTTATATGAACCTTAGAAGTGGTAGAATAACCAATAGCAACCAACCCTTACCCAGAAGAAAACGTTTAAACAAGATGTTTAATTATGACAATCAACAAGGGGAGCAGAATATCCCACATACAACAGGCACTAATATCTCCGCCTCGATGGGAACATCTAATGTGATCCCTTCGAACGCACAGTCTGTTGCATCTTCTATCAGTAGTATAGCCACTAATGGAACAAGTGGCATATCAACTAACAGTTCGATCCTAGGAAATACTGGAACCATTGGTTATCCTGGGGGATTCGTCCCACCACCAGGGACACAAACCCATTTCGCCACCCCATTAACTAGACCACCCGGTTTCGATGGTAACAGAACCAGAAATTCCTCTTATGGAATGCCAACATCTTTTATGGCAGGCTTACACAATTCCACATCGAATTCATCATCACAATTAGGGTCTGGGGCAAATCAGTTTATGACAAACAACCAAGGGTCAGTGGGTTATAGCGTGATGCCTATCTTAACCACAGAAAATCAGTTGGCCTTTAGGCAATTAATGGATGACAGTAACCATAATATGATAGGAGTGTTAGCACAAACTATGCAGGAAATATTTGCCCTAATAGTACAAAATGTAACTGTGACAAACAGAGAAAACGCGGATAACATGAGTTGAATAGCAGATTTTTTCGCTCCCCCAGAAAGGCGTAGGCAGAATCAGGCAGGAGTTCGAGCAAACGTACCTATTATAGAACAAGTTGCTAACGACCCACCCTATAGGCCAGCCAGAGAGGAGGTTAATTTGGGGGCAAGGGCTCAAAGGTTAGAAGCCACAACGATTCAAGGCCCACAAAGGGAAATTATGGAACCAGGGGCAAGGATCAAAAGGATAGAAGTCCCAGAGTTTCGAGAGGAACAGCCTAGAGGAGTTGTCATGGTAGGTCAAAATCAAGATGCTGACGCAATTGTTCACAAAATTCGAAACGATAACATCTTGGCAGAAAATAATCTAACCACCATGATAGAGAGAATCATGGCCCAGAATGGCCTCAACACAGGAATTAGAAGGACAAATTATGCCTCCCCTATATTAGATTACATAATGCACACTGATTTACCAAGGGGATATAAAGTCCCTAAGTTTACAAAGTTTGTTGGGGATACCAATGAATCAACAGTCGAACACATAGCCAGGTATCTAACCGAAGTAGGAGATATAGCCAATAATGAAGACCTTAGGATCAAATATTTCCCAAGTTCCCTGACTAAGAACGCTTTCACATGGTTCACTACTTTGCCTCCTGGGTCCATTGATACTTGGGCTCTTTTGGAGAGATTATTCCATGAACAGTTCTACATGGGGCAATCAAAAATAAGTCTGAAGGAACTAGCCAGTGTCAAGAGGAAGTTTACTGAACCCATAGATGATTATCTGAATAGATTCAGGCTCTTGAAATCTAGATGTTTTACAGTAGTTCCTGAACATGAGTTAGTCGAAATGGCTGCTGGCGGCCTGGATTACTCTATTCGAAAGAAATTAGACACTCAATACTTGAGGGATATGGCTCAATTAGCCGATAGGGTTCGACAGGTCGAAAGGCTAAAGGCCGAAAAGGCCAGAGTTTTTAAAAATAACAAGAAGGAAAGGGTCTCCTATGTTGGAACTGAGGAAACAAAAGATTATCCTGAATTCGAATTCGAAGAGGTCGAAATTGACCTCGCTGAATTAAAACAGGTACCACCTTACTCCTGCAAATTATTAGTTCCCATAAAAGGGAAGGAAATTATTGAAAATGAGAAAAGTGACAAATTCCCAAAGAAGGTTTATACCTTCGATATAACTAAGTGTGACGATATTTTTGATTTACTTGTCAAAGATGGCCAACTCATTGTGCCATCAAATGTCAAAATACCTCCTTTAGATCAAAGGAAGAAAAGAGGATTTTGCAAGTATCATAGTTTCCTAGGCCACAAAACCTTACAGTGTTTTCTTTTCAGGGACCTAATTCAGAATGCAATTAAAAATGGCAGACTGAAGTTCGCTGATAAAGCAAAAATGAAAGTAGATGAAGATCCTTTGGATGTCGCAGACACCAATTACTCCGAGTCTGTATGCATTGGAGAAATTAACATGGTGGAAGCTGATCAAAATGACGCTCCAGTAGGAGAGAAAGGTACTGAAAATAAAAGCTGGGTGTTAGTCGAAGTCAACAAGGGGGTCACTGAAGACGTCCACAAGCAACCAGAAACTTCGATCGAAGCAGCACCTTTAGCTGTTGCAAAGGAAATCCAGGCTACTGAAGGCCAGGAAAACCAAAACCAAGAGATGACACAGGTTATTGAAGGCCTGAGGCTAGAATTGGAGAAAGTCCAGATCACGAAGCCAACTTCCCCTCAGAAAGAAATATGGGATACTTTAGGGGAGCCCGGTGGAAAGTTTGACTACTTGGTCAAATATTCTGCCCCAGAGAGTTCAAAAATCCAAATTGAAGATATAAAACCTACAGGTTAGGGGGAT